ATATTCCAGGGCAAAGTTATTCCACTACTCAACAAAAGCATAAGGCCACCACTCCTGGATCAGTTCTATGATCCTTATGTACTCAAACATAAAAGCCTTTTCTTTTTCATTCCCCAAATACTACACCTATGAAATCGTATAATTTCTCTAAGCCATAGTTTAACCACAGATGCATATTAGCAAAAAAGCATTAATCCAAAGTTATCAACAATATACGACTTCTGAAGAAAGGGGTAAACAAGAAGCTCAGTTGCAACTGCTGACTAAAAAAAGAAGAATATAAATTGCTGATACTACGAGCATTAATCCAAAGTTATCAACAATATACCACTTCTGAAGAAAAGGATAAACAAGCTCAGTTGCAACTGCTGACTAAAAGAAGAAGAATATAAATTGCTGATACTACACAGTAAGAAAGAATACTCTAGCCATTGATCAAAGCGGCAAATGACAAAAATACATCCCTTTTTTGGAAATTAATTTCGAGCAGACAGTCTGGAATTAAGTCTCCAATATCCTCCTATATACTACCTGACAAATGAGTCTACTTTAAAGAGCTGTATGAGGATGCTGCGAAAAACCCATTACCATTAGTAACAGAAAATCTCCCCAAATGGCCCCCCTGTAACTTTTTATTTTGTGACGGCCAATGGCCATATACAATAAACTTCATTCATCCAACTCCAGGTGAGATTAAATCCCATACAGAGCTCCAGGCTATGGTATTCCACCAGAGCTTTTGAAAGAAGATATGGACTGGTGGGCCTCCTTCCTGGCTCCTCTCTTTACCTATACTGATGAGTCAGGCTGTATGACTAAATCCTGGGAATTGGCCATAGTAGTTCCCTTTTATAAAAAGGGTAAAATAGAGGATCCCTCAAACTACAGGCTGATTAGTTTGTTGAATATTACAAGCAAACTGTGTGCAAGGCATCTTTTAGATAAATTCTTAGATTGCCTTGACCAAGAGAACATCCTAGTGGTAGAGCAGATGGGTTTTAAGATCAGAAAGATCTACGCTTGATCAATGCCTCACTATTCAATAGTGAGAAATATTCAACCAAGGGAGTAACTTCATTATATGCTACTTTTGTTGATTTTAAAATCACATTTGATTCTGTATGTAGAGTTCAGCTATAGGATAAATTGTTAAACCCAACTATAGACAGAAGACTTTTATAAATTTTATGGGCTCTGCATGATCAAATCTTTTTAAAAGTCAGATGTAGTAGACAAGGACACCTTACTGAGCCTATTCAAACCTTCAGAGGTGTTAGATAAGCTTGCCTGTTAGCTCTGATACTGATCCACTTTGGTGTAGTGGTTAAGTGCACGGACTCTAATCTGGGAGAACCAGGTTTGATTCCCCACTCCTCCACTTGCACCTGCTTGGATGACCTTGGGCAAGCCATAGTTCTGACAAAAGCTATCCTTGAAAGGGCAGTTCTTGAAAGAGCTCACTCTGCCCCACCTACCTCACAGGGTGTTTGTTGTGGGGAGGGGAAGGGAAAGGAGTTTGTAAGCCGCTCTGAGACTCCGAGTGAAGGGCGGGGTATAAATCCAATCTCCTCCTCCTCCTCTTCTTCTTATATATAAATAATTTACCTAGCCAGCTTAATACCCCTGAACTTCATCCCCCTAAACTTTCCTATAGGTCTGTATCAGTGCTACTGTATGCTGATGACACAGTGCTACTTTCTAGAACTCCTGTAGGTCTTCGGATAGCTCTTAAGAAGCTCTCCTCATATTGTGAAAATGAATTTCTCACTATCAATGATCAGAAATCCAAAATAGTAACTTTTGGGAATAGACAAAAGACCAGGATCTGGTTGACTGATGGACATTGTATTGAGCAAGTTAAAAATTTTAAATATTTTTGGGTAGTTTTACAGGGTCAATCACAGTAAATATGTTGCTAACCAAGGAGAAAGATCAGCAAACACTATAGCAAAATTCTACTGATCCCAAGGGGGGGTATTATGTTCCTGCAGCTCTTAAATTATTTAGGGCTAAGACATTGGCACAATTACTGTATGGAACATTTCTAGGGTCACCCAGCTCCTGTTTCGCTCCCCAAGAAAGATTGCAATCTAAGTTCTGAAGAGCAATTCTACAAGTTGCAAGGTGTGTGCCCAATGCCAGGTTAAGACTGGAGACAGGCAGCATAAGAGTTGAAGCATGGGTATGTATACTATCTATCTATCTATCTATCTATCTATCTATCTATCTATCTATCTATCTATCTATCTATCTATCTATCTATCTAATCTATCTAATCTATCTAATCTATCTATCTATTACTGTATGGAATATATATATATGTAGCTAAAGGGACACTTTAACCCCCAAAGGTAATTTCCATCAATAAATAGAGACGATGTTAAATCAAATTGGTTTAAATCTGTCCGGAACCATATTGTTAGGATTGGCTTCTCCCTTCATGTTCTGCTATCTTGTGGATATGATCAGGCAAAGATACTAGTTAAACAGAGAACTGAGGACACAGAATGCCAATTGGATATTGCTACTTTACAAAACACTTATGTGTGGAAAAACTTTCAATATACTGTAAAGGCAGCAGTCTATTTAACAACCTTAGAAATAAGTGGATTCAGAAGGGTGTTTACCATGGCAAGGTGTTTGGCCTTCCCTTCGGCAGTACTGGAAGGCTTATATAAGAAAGCTCCTTATATGGAAAGGCTTTGCTCATGTCTGTTGAGAGAGGCTGAAACCACAGAACACAAGTTTTTAAGCTGCCCATATTATAAGTATGCACGAGGTGAGATTATTACCCCGTCACCTTTTCAGTGGCGGCTCCGTACTGGTGGAATGAGCTCCCAGAAGAGATCAGGGCCCTGCGGGACATTTTACAGTTCTGCAGGGCCTGCAAAACAGAGCTCTTCTGCCAGGCCTTCAATCAAGGAGCTGCCTCAAACACCTGAAGAGTGAGCCCTGTGCCCTGTCGTGGACCAGCCTCAGCCTGTGGTGCGGCCAGACTCTGACTTGCTGCCTGAGCCCAGCCTGGGTGAGGACCAGTCTGACTTGCAGCCTGACCAGTCTGATTGGCAACTGGAGCCCAGTGTGAGGAAGGACTCCTCAGAAGTCGAGCCTGAGTCCAGCGTGGCAAAAGATGACTTCAGAGTAGAGGACACTCAGGAACTCCAGTCAGATAATACTGAGCCGGCTGAAGTCAGGGGCAAGTACCTCTGGAGGCACTCACGACTCCCCCAGGTTCCCTCCCACTCATAGAGAGAAGAAGGGCTAAGATCAGAAGGCAATTACAAGAATGCAGACAGAGTAAAAGATTAATGGCCCATGGACAGCTACAAGATGAGTCATTACAGGAGCCCTGCTAACTTGCCAGCTGCAGATAAGACTAATTAGGGAAAAGCTACATAAAGCTGGGTGTAAGTTGTTGCCAACTTGTGGAAGCAACACATCACCTCACAGTGAATCCTGCAACCACAACTCCTGACTCTGCTCTAATCCTGTGACTCTTGGACCGGCTGCTCTGCTTTTGGACTCTCTCTGACTATAACAATTGACCTTGGACTGCTTGGACTACGCTGTGAACATTCCTTTGACCTGCGGGCATAAATTGAATGAATCAATCAATCCTTGGTCTCACTGAAAAAGCTAGACTTGATTATCTTCTATCTGATAAGAACCCCAGGATTACCTACCAAGTAGCTAGATTTTGTTTGGTGATATCGAAGTCTCTGAAAATATATTATAATTAGATTTTAAATCTTAAATCGTTTTTATTTGGTATACTATAAACTTTGAATTTTTAATGGTCGAATTGTGTATATGATTGGTCAAATGATCGAAATAAAGAATGAACGACCCCATAACATCCATCACTTAGTTATATACTATCTCCAGTCATCAGGAGAGTTCTAACCTTCCTGCCTCTTTCATTTGATCACTTTTTGAATAGTATAAAAACTGTAAAGAAGTATTAAAAATCTTTTTAAAAAGCATTTAGGCCCTGGTCACACGGAGGATTTGCCGCGCTAAAGGCACGAATGTCAGGCGGATTTTCAAGGCGTGATCACACCGCAACATCTGGGAAGCATAGCACACCTGTGGCCAACCTGTGGTGTCCCACCGAACATGCGCAGTAAAAAAGTACCTCAGAAAGTGCACTAGTATCTGGAAAACGCAGGGCAGGGGCGAGCGTCTGATCACGGGAGCGCTAGTATCCCGTGGCATCCGGCGCCCATCCACATCCCGCCGCAAACCGGATGTTTTTCGTAAGCGCATGCCCACAAACACGTAACTGAAAGCAGAGCGGCTCCGTGGAACTGCGCATGCGCACAAACGCAAAATGCTTGCTGTGCCACTTCTTTGCCACGCTCAGGCATCCTGTGCCACTTCTTTGCCACGCTCCAGCATCCCTGTGTGATCGCCAGCTAACAGTCTAACCGCGAAGACTCGGGGGACTGTGTGATCGGGCTACCGTGCTTTATTTTGCTCCGGGGCGAACAGCCACACCTCCCCCCCGCGTTATCTGGCCCGTGTGCCTGGGGCCTTAACACATATTTGATCAGATAAACATGTAAGATTATGGAAGAAAGGGGAGAAAAAACTCCACTCATTTGATTCATGGAGGGAGGGGTGTAAAGGAAATCAGCACTTGATTTGAAGCATGTACACATGTCCTGTGAAAGCGAAAACCAGGGGAAGAAGAAGAGTTCATTCTGTAGCAGAAAAACACCTGTTCTTATTTACAAGCCTGTCTGTACACAGCGCATATTTACATATACATGCATGTCTGCATGGATGTGTATTTAACACATTAACACTAAATCAATTAAAACATTTCACAAGAATGGCATACTACCTTATAGCAGGAAAGCCCCGATCCGCTCTGCCATCCTGGAGGACAAGGATCACTTTTTTTAGGCAGCACTTCTGTTGGCCGTGGTGGCCCAATGTATTTTTTGCAAATAGAGTAAGCTTTAAATGTACTGCAAGACTGGACTTTCCACTTTCCAAGGTGTTTTCCGCTCGCCATAGCCACACATCCTCCAGAAAATTCTAGAAAGTTAACCAAAAATTCCGAGGATTTCAGTATTTATCTGACATTTTCAGAAATGGAAGACTGTTTCATGAAATAAATATTTATACTTCACGAATTTTGAGCATTTACCTGGCTGAAGACTATCCCAGTTTGTATACAGTAGCTTTTCAATATTTCCGTCAGTATGTCCCCAGCTATACTCTCCCAAAGAGTTGAGGTCTTGCAAGCCAGTCCAGAAATATTTCTCTTCAACTATGCTATGCTTTCTAATCAAACTATTTATGAATTCTTGCTCAAATCTGTAAGAGTTAGAATTTCAAAATTAAGGGTCAATTATCTTTTATCACAAATCATGAAACATCTAAAAGGGAATAAAGACGACACAAGACGACAATGGAGTTAATGTTTACATTCATATATTGAAAAAAGCTTCACACCAAGAAAACTGTTTTCTTGCACACCAAGCAAACCATTTGATCCATACAGCTTACAGTACTACAAAATACCTGTTTTCTATAGTGAGATTGCACTGCTTTCCAAAGGTCACTTTATCGTTCAGAATCCTGTAGCAAAAATTTCCATGTCTCTTCCATTCCTAAAGAATGACAACTTCTTTACTCAGCAGCAGAATCAGTATGTACCATAAAATCTGCATCCACTACAATGTTGCCAAGACATGACAGTGAAATTAAGAATTACTGACTGACCCATTATTAAGTTTATTACTACTGCTCAGAAATTGGCCACAGTTTCGATGCAAAACTTTAGACACATACTCTCAAAAATGCTAGACAAATTCTCAATATTTAACATAAGAGATGCCAATATTGGATCAGGCCAAAGGCCCATCCAGTCCAACACTCTGTGTCACACAGTGGCCAGAAATACCAGTGCCATCAGGAGGTCCAGCAGTGGGGCCAGGACATTAGAAGCCCTCCCACTGTTGACCCCCCCCCAAGCACCAAGAAGACAGAGCATCACTTGCCCCAGAGCCCCTAGCTATACCTTGTGGCTAATAGCCACTGATGGACCTCTGCTCCATATGCTTATCTAATTCTCTAGGTTATGTTATGTCTTCATTTATTATTGAACCATATTCTTAATAGTAATAATCTTGGATGGTAAGCAAAAAATAAAGTGATGTTAATAAAACATACCAGATTCCATTAAAATAGTATTAATAGTGCTTTACCTCATTAAGAGGACAATCTTTATCAGAGATCGTCTCATTTAAAATCTTTCCTTTTGTCATGCACACATATTTAAGTTGATTTCCACAAGGAAGGACTTTCCATCGACCCAACTGTTATCCAGAAGAAAAAGCAGGATAATTATATGAACAGTTGTAACACTTAGTGTGTATACAGTGCTTTTGCACCTATTAGCTTGATGAAATCCTAGCAACAGCCCTGTAAAGTAGGCCAATATTAACCCCATATTGACAACAAAGCACTAAGCAATAATAAAGTGTCTAAGGGCACCCAGTAAGAATGAGACACATTCATTCTGTTGCTTAGAGATTTAACCAGATGCCTCCCAGACTGCTCACTTTGTTAGCTACCACATTATACTAGGCCCCCTGTACCTCCAACACGGTAACTCCCTTTGGAGTTTCATTTGAAAAATCACTTTCTGTGCTAAAATATAGACACTAACAGATTTTATAAGCTCTACTTTTATTACTTCTTGCTCTTTTTTAGACAGAATTGTTATTACAATAAACTAAAATTGTGGTACCTTTTCCCATTATTGTCTGAACTGAAAGATTATTAGCATTTAAGTATCTTTACCCTTCTCTATAAGAATCAGCTATTTACATTTGATATCAAACAGTTTACATGCTCTGCTCTGTAGCTTTCAAAATACACTTTAGCACTGATTTCCCACAAGCGCTGCTCCATGCTCGCTCTTCCCTTTTGCCCTGATGGTACGTGTCAATTTCACAGAAGCTGCTGCATCGCCGCATTTTGCCCCACAGCTTTCCCCCGCGTCTATTCAATCCTCAAAAAACAGGATTGAGTAGACGAGGGGGAAAGCTGTGGGGCAAAATGCGGCGATGCAGCAGCTTCTGTGAAATTGACACGTACCATCAGGGCAAAAGGGAAGAGCGAGCATGGAGCAGCGCTTGTGGGAAATCGGTCTAGGCATTTTATAATTTATAATTATAAAGCTGACCAGAAGAACACAGACGCTTTTTACCTTTCCTGAATAGGCCACACAATTAGGAGTGTTGTTCAAAGGAATGTTTGGCTCATTCTGATCCCAGTAAGTGAATACTACTTCTGAACCATCTGCCCACTTAAATGAAGCTGGCACATCCGTATTCATGAAACCGATCCACATTTTGTCATTTGTTTCTACATTCAACAGTAAATAGAAGCATTTCACAAAATGATAACAGTAATCAAACAAGCTAACAGGAGAATAAAAATCGGATCTTTTCAGAATGCACTGAGGGAGAAAAGCAAAATTCCTCATGATTATCATATTACTGTGCGATTTAACCAAGGCTATCTTATATATGCCACTGTTGATGGCATCTGGCCATGGACAAAGGATACTGGTCAAAGATCTGTAGCAAACGTCTGCTACATCAGTGATCTTCAAACTTTCCAGAGCCACGATCCCCTTTCACCCCCCAAGATAGCAGCATGGAACTCCCTGAGCTGCAAAGCAATGAGATATCATCACAGTCATATGATGAAGAAGAGGAATAGCCAAAGTCACTGGGCACTGGAGGACCAAATGGCAGGGGTGGCAGGACCATGCTGTGCTGAAGGGGGGGGACAGCGAGAAGGCATAAAGACAGCTTTGGTGGGTTGTGGCCAGTGTTCCCTCTAAGCTGAGTTAGTGTGAGCTAGCGCACCGTTTTTTAGCCTCCAGCTCACACATTTTTATCTCAGCTCAGGAAGGAGGGTTCCAGGGCAAACTAATTTATGCAGCAGCCAAATCACTTGCTCACAACTTTAATGCCAGTAGCTCACAAAGTAGAATTTTTGCTCACATGACTCCATAGCTTAGAGGGAAGCATTGGTTGTGGCACTAAGATTGTGGAACTCCCTCCGCAGGGATGTTCATCTGTCCCTTTCTGTCACTGACTTCCACCACAGCATGAAGACTTTTTTGTGTTTCAGCTTAGAGGGAAAAACTATACACACACACACACACACACACACAAATTTAACTCATTTTATTATTTGTTTTTAAACTGCCTGTTTTTAGTTGTTTGCTGCCCTGGTGGCCCTGACTGGGCTGAACTGCAGGATACAAATCTTGTAAATAAAAGGAAAGGCGTGTCTCTGAACCCAACTGTGCTTAAAAATTAAGACTGAAGAATGACCTCAGCTTGCCATCCTGTCTTTCCTCTGAGAACTGTGCAGAGAGAGGCTGGAGGCATGGAGACCTAGTCTTTATGTATATACACTAACACCAGGTCCTTTCAAAACAGCAGCAACCCCCCACCCCTGACTTTATAGGGACTTGAAACCCAGCATGTGGGGCTCTTCAGCCCTCTGGAACGTCACAAGCCATGGGTTGAAGACCTTCTGTTGATTCAAGTGCTTAACCTCATGGCGACAGACCTTCGTTCTTTGACCCATGCCAAGTCAAACTTACCATTATGAAGTTTGGTAACAACCAATTCAACATCTGCTAATGAATGTATGCTGATTAGGTCAGCATTCTTGGTTTTACAGGACTGCTGTGCAACTTCCCAGGAAACGGGGTTGTCCATTGGCGAATAGCAAAACCCATTGTGAGGTAGCCAGTCGGAATCACACTGGGTCTCCATGTAGTCTTGGACTTCTGGAATATGAAGAAATTAATTACGTAGTAGACAATTTACAAGTTCAGCGTGGGCACAGAAGTACTAACTACTAAAAAGGAGCAGCTAGACCATGACTAAAATTACGTGTGTGTGTGTGTGCGTGCATGCCTATGTATGTATGTATAAAACACGTCTTACATGTTCTGTGGAAATTAATCCCATGGCAGTGTATACAGGATTGCACTCTACATAACTATCTGCCAGGAACCAAATCCGCAATGCACCTCTGATTTACCTGGTAACTCTGATTCGGTACTGTTGAATTGTTTTTTGCAGACATAAGGAAGTGCAGTCTCGCAAGGATAACTGTTCCAGAGGCCTGTGTCAGCATTCATGACCACACAACTTGTTCCATCTAGTGGCGATGAATTCTGCATCTCTGTGGAAAAAAGAAAGACTACTGTTTAGAATACCATCTGAAATCCAAAGCAGACTTACAGGAAAGTAAGCTCACTGGGCTCAATAGGACTCGCTTTTGTTTAGTGCTGCATTATATTGACTACAACTGTACTATCTGCCTTGGAGACCCTGAGCTGGGTGGAAAGATGGCAGGAAAATGTTATAAATAGATAAATATTTTATATAGGGCTAGAAGAGATGATATGCACATCATTGTTTCTTCTCCCTTTTGCAAAATATCTCCACCAATGCACTGAAGAAGATTCGATGTTGTGGTTATTTATTACAATATTCATATCCATTTTTCAGTCCCAGAGGGAACACCCCCCCCAGAGCAACTTCCAACCATAAAGCTAGCTGAAGTACATCAAATCATCAGAAATAAATATAGCTAACATCTCTATCACAGACCACAATAAAGGAGTATTACATTTCCTCCGGGCTATGGGTTATAAAAATAATGTAATCAGACTTATAATATAGTTACCAGGGCTCCAGCTAACAAAGTTCAAGGGTGTGTGATCTGACCACTCCCAGCCTCCATAATTGTCCAGTTGGTTTAATCCAATCCAAAATATTTCTGCAGCTTTATCTATAGACGAAAAAATGTGTAAGTTAACATGTGAAATGTTTACCTGGCGGAGAAAGAACAACAACATGCCATCAAGTTGCAACTGACTCATAGTGACCATCCATCCACAGGGCAGTCCAGGCAACAGACAAGCAAAGGTCATTTGGTTTGCCATTGCCTTCCTTTGTGCAGCAAACTCAGTCTTGCTTGGTGGTCTCCCATCCAAGTGTTAACCGTGGCTGACCCTGCTTAGCTTCCCAGATGCGCTTCCAAAATGACAGCTTTTCCAGGCAATACATTGCCAGTTGTACTCATCTGTTGCGCCAGATCTGGATGTTCACTTTCCAGACAACTATTAGTTGCTAGGGTAACACATTTCCCCAGAAGTGTAATATTTTCTGCAGCAAAGAAGATACAGCTGGTACTGCCACTTGTTGTATGAGCACTGTGTAGAATATGATTGCAAGGGAATCACAAAGGGTTTAGCAGTCAGCATTCCGTAATGGCATAATCCAGGGAGCTTTTATTTTTTTTTACATTTTCTTTAAAAATGGCTTTTGGAAAGTGTGGTCAGTGTCTACAACCAAGCTAATTCAAGACAGATGAAGATGGGTAGCCACATTAGTCTGTCTGTAGCAGTAGAAAAGCGTAAGAGTCCAGTAGCACCTTAAAGACGAATAAAATTTGTGGTAGGGGGATGAGCTTTTGTTCACTGCTCACTTCTTCAGAAGCATTAGTTTTTAAGGTGCTACTGGACTCTTACTCTTTTCTACAAGCTAATTCAACTCCATTTAAAAAAAACACACTACTGCTAACAGTGACGATACAGCACAGCCTTAAAGCAGGGCCCTTGATCCTACCAACATCCAACACTCCCTGGGCAGCTGCCTGTATGGTCTACTATGTGGAGTGAACAGCAGCTCTGGAAACCTGACTTGGGGATGGAAAAATGAGGTGGGAGAAAGGCCTATGTACCATGCTGTGGCCCAGATCAGCTGGATCCGGTATTCTTCAGCTGCTGCAAGACAATCAGCAATGAAAATTCAGCACAATTCAACAGTGATGACGGGTCTGTGTACGTTAGAGGGATACAGTGGACAGGAGCAGAAAAGCAACAAGCAACAGAATTGTTGTTGTTATATACATGTAAAAAAACTCAGAGTGACTAAGGTCCAAAGAACTTGCCCAATACATTCTCTCCTCCTCCAGGGCATTGTACCACGTTGGCCCAAACACTGGGGCATTCTGTATTACCTTATTGGGAGAATTGCTGTCATTAATTACATTTATTCACACCTGTCTCCCTAACAAAGCTGAATAAATCAAAAGAGGCTTTAGATTTCAATGTCCATATGGAATTTTAATATAATCAATTTTAAGCCATTTGCTGCTCAGATTCCCTATTTCTGATAGGCCAATTCCAGCATCCCCCAAGAATGACAGCTAGACTTACCTCTAAAGTAGCTTAACTGAGATGGGTTGGTGATGCTCAGCAAATCTGCACCTTGCCTTTGACACGAGACGTACGCTTCTTTCCAAGAAAGAAAAGCCTGAGCGTTTAACTGGTAGCAACTCCCAGAAGCTTCATCATACTCCCATGTATTCTGACAACCATCCTCTAATGAAAGGAAATAAATAATTAAGCAATAAATACTTCTGCCAAGCCTGGCCGCAGTGTCTATCCACAGCTTTCAGATATCAAGAAGATACACAGGGATCACGAAAATGCTGTTTCCCTGCCACAGTCCATCCTCTGTGCACCAAGGCAAAGAAAAGGGAGGTTGGCTTTGCAGGGATTGGGATGACCACGCACCTTTCTCATACCCACATCCAGCTTCTCCTCTTTGCAAGATGCATATTAGAGAGGTGTATGTGTATATGCATGAGACTGGATACAGATATGGCATATGTACACAGACCTCCTATTTCCTCTAATACCTACTTGTATGGGCTACAGCCATAATTTTTACCTCCCACATTTCTCACTGAGGCTCAAGGGGAGCTACACAATGTAAGACAATGCTATCAAATAGTGGTGAGCCTGCCGCAAGTGCGCTCTATTCCCCACACTCCACTGAACCAGTCCCTATTTTAATACAGTAAATGTACTGTTCCAAATATGTTTTATATTACAACCTGAAAGTACACAGAAAAATTAGAGTATTATACTTCTAGAATTAAATCGCATACGCTGTAATGGAACAATTATTTAAGGCTGCAACAGATATGGTGTCCTGCTCAGGATGATATTTTAGGAATGCCATTCACCTGGTTTTAAGCAGTATCCCCATTTTCTATCTTGATCAAAATTGTAGGTAGTGGAGCACCATTCGCCATCTTCAAACATCTCATTGCTTATGCAGTCATGATGCCATGTGTTATTAAACAGGAAGGGGAATTCACAGGGCTTTCCATAGGAATTCCCTTCCCTTGTATACGTCTCTGTAGAAAAACAATCAGAAGTAAATGTTTCAAACATAAAATCTGAATTAAATTATATGTATTACAAACACACACTCTCTCTACTAAAAAGATTTTGAAGGCATTTAGTAGAACAAATTGAAATAGTCCTCATCTATAGTAAACGTAAATTTAACAAACGGCAAAAAAACATGGTATTATAGGAAAACTTCCAGTCTTTGTGCTTGTCATACATTAACAGTTCAATTACAGAAGTCAACAAAAATGAATCTATATATTTAATCTAAATTTATCTATTGACCAGAACCATTTTATGTCACTTTCACTGTATTCCATAATATTCCTCATGCAACATACATGTGTTAAATCAATGTATGCAGTGACAGTTCCACATTTTGGTGGATTCTGGACACTGAGCACGGATAGGCTCCCAAACTGCTACAGTAGCTCCCCCCCCCACCCGGAGCACAGCAGCCCCCCAAACCTTCTCTAGATGCAAGGAGACACCACCCTTGCTCACTCACCCTCCTGCCTCACTCATAGAGCCTTCCAATGCACACTTGAGAGTAAGCACCCCTGAATCAATCTCATACTTTCTCATTATAATGTGCAGGATCAGGATCAAGCTGTTAGGATAGGGGTGGGGAGGTGACAGCAGTGGGCTCCCCCGGCAGCTGCCCTACCTAACTAAAATCTGATGTCAGGCCTGAATGCATGGATCATATCTACAGCCCCTCCACATATTGATCTAGACCTCTGAGCAGAGGCTGGGCACAAGGGTGGACAAAAATTAATGATTTTAAAAAATCGGATTTGTAAAATTTAAATCGGATTTTTTAACAGAATGCTATAGTTTTCTATTTAAGATCCATTATAGTCCAAAGGTTATTCATTATGAAATATGGATTACTTTTTAATTATGTAGCATGAGGCTGTATATTCATAGGGTTTCCAAGTCCCCTTGTTGCACTGGGGGTCCCGGGATGTCCTGGGATGAAAGTGACATCATCATGTCAGGGATGTCGCGCTGGCAACGCTCTGTTTTTTGGGCAAAACTCCATGGTAAAACTGGCTTCAAACCATAGAGTTCTGCCCTCAAACTAGAACGTCGCCGCGAAATGTATCCAACGTGATGACATCACTTCCAGGCAACGTCATCGCGTTGGGAATGTTGTGCAGTAACATCGCTGTTTGGGGGCTGGGTTTCCCCTGCCATCCAGCTGGCTGGCAGAATCCCCCAAAACCGGGGGAACCCCCGCCAGGACCTGGGGACTAGCAATCCTACATATTCATGCAACATTTACATAGTTCAGTAAATGAATTCCATTAATCTGTTCACAATATCATGCTCTCCCAGAGGTTTCTGTAAGATTATTTTGGGGGATTTGGGGTAATTTTTCTATCTAGAAGATATTATCACAAATCCTTGGCTTTGCAGTTCTCAGAACTGTGAATTTATGTCTGCAGAGATAACATGCCTCTTCTTTACAGCAAAAGTGTTATAAAATAAACATACAGAGCTTAAGAGACCTCAGTCTATTGGTCCTCTGCAAATCTATGCACACAGAACCAACTCCTTATCTCTTAAGTGCTAAGTTTCAAGAAGTTCAATGAATATAAGATTGTTTGGGGTAGAATAATTCTGGGTAAGGAGGAGATGTTAAGAGTTAAGTGTGAGGAGGGAAGGGCAAGCAGTACAAATGAAAGTGAAACTTTTTGAGCAGAATACTCCAGAAATCTTGAGATTTTTGTGAGTGTATCCTGATGGATGTTTAAGCAAATACAAAAATACATATCTATATACTAATAGCCATACTAATAGCCAAAGTTCCTTCAGAGTGTGGATACTTATTTCCGCCAACAGAGGGCTCAATCTCCCCCAACAGCTTTTTCTATAGACTCAGGGGACTCTGTGGGTCTAAAGAAAATCCAGTTTTTTTAAAAAACAAAACAACCTCAGGGAGGATTGATTTCCCTCAATACCTTTTGAAATGGCCTCCGCAGGGATCTACTCCAGGCATCATTGGTGAGAGATTAGAATGTCAGGGGCGGGAGGCTTCTAACTAGCTCTGTCAGTAAAAGGCAGGGGGAAGGGGAAAGGTCCTTTCCAGACCTATTTTGGCCCTTCAGACACCTTTAGGGCCAGGCCTGACAAGGGTTGCCAGTACCAGGCTGGGAAATTCCTAGAGATTTTGTGATGGAATCTAAGAAGGGCTGGGTATGGGGAAGAGAGAGGCCTCAGCTGGATATAATGCCGCAGAGTCCACCCTCCAAAGCAGGGAGACGACATATCTTTGCTGTCTAGAGTTCAGTCGTAATTCTGGGTGGGCCTCCAGGTACCACTTGGAGGTTGACAACCCTAGGCCTGGCTGCAGTTTAGGGTTGTCAGGTCCCCCCTAGCTACTGGCAGGGGATGGGGGGTAAGGTTGCCAGATCCAAATTGGGAAACTCCTGGAAATTTGGGGTGGACCCTGGGGAGGACAGGGATCTCAGTGAGGTACAGTGCCATAGAGTTCATCCTCCAAAGCATCCATTTTCTCCATGGGAAGTTATCTCTGTAGTCTGGAGATAAGCAGTAATTCCAGGGGATCCCCAGGTCCCACCTAGAGGCTGGCATCCCCAGGCAGCACCCTCTGGGTAACTTGATACCACCTGACTTGCATGACTCAACTAGGCCACCCTATGAAAGCCAGTGTGGTGCAGCAGTTAGAGCTTCAAAGTAGGGTCTGCAAGACCCAGGTTCAGATCCCCATCTTGCGGTGGAAGCTGACTGGGTGATTTTGGACCAGTCACATACTTTCAGCCTAACCAACCTCACAGGGTTGTTGTGAAGATAAAAAAAGAGGAAAGAAGAATGTAAGCTGCTTTGGTCCCCACTGTGGAGAAAGACTGTAATTCTCCTAGTTAGAGGCAGTGGGGGAGGGGGGTGGAGACAGAAAGCTGAAGACAGAGAGGCAAATAAAGGTAGGTTGGCTGTTGGGTGGGAAGGAAATAGGGTTGCCAACTCCAGGTTGGGGAATTCCTGGAAATTTGAGGGATGGAGCCTGGGGTGGGTGGGGTTTGAGGAGGGGAGGAACTTTCGACCAGTATACCATAAACTCCACCCTCCAAACCAGCCATTTCCTCCACGAAAACTACCATTGCCAACCTCCAGAATTACAACTGTTGTCCAGGAGACAGAGATCAGTTTCCCCTGGATAAAATGGCTGCTTTGGAGGGTTGAAGCTATGGGATTATACCTTGCTGAGGCTGCTTGCCTCCCCAAGCCTCACAGTCCCAAGGCTCCACCCCCAAATATCCAGGAATTTCCCAACCTGGAGCTGGCAACTGTAAGGTGAACTGATCTCTGTAGCTGGGAGATCCGCTGTGATTCCTGGAGAGCTGCCACTGCTGCTTTGGGAGGCAAGGAAGCAGGTGGGTGACTGGGAGCACTGATGGGGGCAGAAAGAGAGAGTGATGGGGTGGGGGGCAGAAAGAAAGAGAAGAGTGTGAGAGAGGTAGAAGGAGAGGGGAAGAAGCAAAGGTATGAGGAATGGGATAACGTCCCATCAGTTTCTTGTGGGTCCCTGCTTGTGCTATATAATGTTATTGTTTTAGTTAAATATTTAAATGGTTATTGTTAATTATTATTTTTCTCCTTCCAGTAAAGTACAGCTGAAAAGTTGTCCAAATATGAATAATTAACCTATTAAAACAGAGATAGTTCACCTTGCAATGATTTCAAAATTATCTATTTCAAGTGGTAAATAACCAATCATTAATTTTCTGATATAACAAAAGCTAACCTGAAAAGTTGTTATACTAAAATGAAACCTTCATCTGAGTTGTAAACATTGAGGCGATCAAGAATGAGTGTTTATGTAGAAAACCATGATTTAAATTAAGTCTTTCTGACCAGTGATGTAAATCATGATTTAATATACACCCTGCTAGGCACAAAAACATGAAAAGTTCACATAACGAAGAAAAAGCCTATACACATACAGCTTGTACAGTTGTAGGGTCTACTCAGAGTCTGGATTCATGTGTGGAGCTCAGGGGCATATTCTACTTATCTATGCACTGATTATATACATGTAAAATTAATTGGCTATGTAAAGTAAAAGGTTGGTATACACAATGTAAGCCAATGATATGGTTAGTGCAAACCAACCATCACTCAGCACAGAAATACCAACCTTGAAATGGCTTATAGACCAATTCCGGCATTGAGCTAAACACTGCCTAGGATTTGGCACAGAAGTTTGCATTCTGTCAAAATTTCAGTGTCAGATGAGGAATGATCTTGGCCAATTCCCCTCTACACTGCAGCCCTCCCCCCCATCCATGTGAGGGACCCTTGACCTCCAGCAAGGACTTTCAGGGCTTATGGAGGCTGCTAGCAGAAGGAAGAGAAAGAACTAACCACAGTATATATCCCAACATTGCTGGTGCCAAGGCATAGCTGGTGCCAATGCGCCAGTGTAAAGAATTAACTGAGACCCAGGAAGGTGGTTCAGAAAGAATCCTAGTAAATCTTGCACCAATTGTTGTCACTTGTTCTTGGCATAGTGTTAAAACGCTATAGCTTCTTAGTGGACTTTCTAGATGCAAGCACCGAGGGCAAGTTGCCATAACCCTGAACCAGTCTTTTCTAACAGTAAGTGTTCAAGCTAAGGTAAAGGTAAAGGTTCCCTTGCTGAAAAGCCAGTCGAATCCGACTCTAGGGTTGTGGTGCTCATCTCCGTTTGAATCTCATATGGATGTGACTCTGCTTTGTATAATAAAACTGTACATTGTTAAACACAAGACTGTGTCAGCGTGGTTTGCTACAGTTAGCTCTTAGCAGGGCATAACTGGACTTCAGCTGGTGTGGACTGACTCAACTCAATGCACTGCGCGACAGGGTTATGGGCCAAGAATGAGTCAAGCCTGCGTCTAGCCTGAACCCAGCCTGAGTGCTACCTGGCTGGTGCTACCAGTTTGTCCATCTTGGTTGCTGTTCAGCCAAGTAGTTGCTGAGAGGTCTGCGAGCTGTGGAG